GGGGGGGGGGAGGGGGGCGTGGGAATACTCCATTCATCTCAATAGATGAGGTGGTTCTTTATCCACAAACAAAAGCTGTTTCCGCTATTCACATGGACTGACCCCTACTATGAACTTATCATACTAGCGTTATAATAATGACCTTGTAAAATTAGACGGGTCATGTGACTTAATCCAAAATTATCTATTTTAGTTAAATAACCCTATTCTAATTTTTTTTTAAAAAAAAGACATAAGATAAGGTTGTGGTGTTTTAATGAAATTTTGAATGCATACTCTCAGTTCTTCAATTGTTGTTCATGAATTTTTTTGAAATCTAATTCAGTTTTTCTACATTTCTGTTTAAAACGCATTAAATCAATTAATGCCCTTATTAACCTGAATTGTTTATTGGGATACACGAATTGTTAATAATTTTTACCACTTTTCTTCTTCGCTTAACAAGTTTTTTTTCATTAATTTAGGAAAACGAGCTGAAGGTGCAATCAGGAACAGTTGATGCTCTTATTGTCTACGCTACATCTATTGGTCGATTGCATCGATCATGTGAGCCCAATTTAATTGATATTCATTTATTGCTTGATCATCATTTCGTATGGTAATAGGCACTTCACCAAAGACACCATGGAGAACCCGTCTTAACAAAAAAGTTAAATAATGCACTCCATGATCTGGAGAGGGGAGGGGGGGGAAGGGTTTGGTGTCAGTCTTGATCAAGTCTCCACGTCTCAAATGGTATGAATCAGGTGATCAGACTCTGGATGTCCGAGTTTCTTAGATGGCCATTAAATTTAATGATTGTCGTTTTATCCTTTCAATATGCAGCAATTTTGCTACGCCGAAGGGTGTAGGAGTTTACCGTCGTCGGTGTGGGTAAACTATAAAAGGACGGGGGGGGGGGAGTGGGATTGGCCCTATTTTGACTGTGGGTAAATCTCAATGTACATTGTGTGAAATACGTGCTCGGCAATCAGTCTGTTTTAATGCCAACAGGATATTTTATCCATCCTGCAATGGTAGTCCTGGTCTTGTACACATGAATTTAAGAGATCGCCTTTGACCACTTAAAGCTGTTTTGGTGGACAACGGTATGCCTGTTTTGAGGGCTGATGGATACCAGTCGCACTCATGTCATCGCGTCTCAAAGATAGCTTATCATACGATCCGATACTGAGATCCACAGGTGTCTCGCTACTTTTTCATTTAGTCTATGGCAGAGTTTAATCCAGGTCTAATAGTATCTTTAGATTTTTCCATTTTCCTATCAAAAAAGGCACTAATAGTGGTACATGAATTGAAGCTAAATGCACAGCTTTATTTACTTATTTTCACATGAGCAATTAATTGAATAAAGTAAATCTTCTAATATTTTGGCGCATTAGCATCGTCGATGCGCTATATGCAATAAGGATTAAACACAGAAAACGAAAATAATTGAATAACATTATATTACATTAGTGTTAATTATATTAGCATTACACTAATCTTATTAATTTTTTTCTTTTTTAGTTCTACTAACGCTGGATGTCTTCTTGGTGATGTATCGAACCTTCATAACTTCGGAGGAACTAATAAGTCGCCTAATTCAACGCTATCTCCTCTTCCAATCCAGTGTCAAGTTGATTGTAACTGTGGATGAGAAGACGCGCGAAAAGATCTGCAATGTGGTCATCTCCTACCTCATTCGTGTGGTAAATTATCTCTCAGGGCCGCAAGGTCATTTTTAATGTGTACACACACACACACCCCTGTGTGCGAGACCCTTCAATCCAATAGTAAACAAATTAATTATTGAAGCATTTGATTATCTGCTGGCCCAGTGCCTTTGTTCGTAGCGCAGTTTATTTTTTACGTAGTTAATTCATAGTTGCGCTCTTATTTCGATTGCATACCGAGGCACATTCAAAACTAAGCTTTTCTTAAAAGTTAGATGCCATCTCCTACTATCGTTTCAATAACCGCAGTAATAGCTATTTCGTTTTTTACCAACAGTAATTAATTAGGATATTGGCATATCGTCGAGTCTGAGTAATTCTGGAAGAAGACTGAGTTAAAATAAGCCAACGCCACCTCCCACCCCCACCCCCAAACATCAATCAGCCATGGTCACATTTGTGACTAACTTTTCAGCCCATTAAGAAACAAATGTGAGGTAAACTAGGTCTTTCAATGGTCCCATTTTAATGACACCCACCTTCTTTGCATAGCCGAGTATGGTTTGGATTTTAGTTTGATCACCGAGTTTGTTTGGGTTTAGTTAAGTCCCCCGAGAATTGCTCTTCATTTAATTAAACAAATTAAACGTTGGTCTTAATGACAAAGCCAGCGCATAAAAACTTCCAGTTGAAAAGGCCTTTACCATACTCAGCGTTTTACTTAAATCGACCCAGGCACCTCTTCCTTGCCTAAATAGCCTACCCGATGATTGATTTGATTAGATTGCTCAAGTCCTTCGATCGCCCTACGTTTAGCCTTTCATGAATACTTTCACATTCAGATCTAAGCGTTTTCGCTTGAGTTTGGAATGCGTAATTTCCTTTGCCAATGGGATTCATGCCTTTGCGTTTCCTTGTTAGAACTCAAGTTGGAATCTCTTCGTAAATAGCAAACATTTTCCAACAATCAAGTCATTTTTCTAATTTTATTCTTTTGCGATTCATCTAATTTAGCCTACATGTGGCCTTTCGTAGACCGCTTTTTTGGCATTTCAGGTAATTCGGTAGTAAAACCTTTCAATTGCTCTCTTCGCAGTTGGCAGATCATAAAACTGGATTTCCTGGTTGGCTTCTTGAGACTGACATTTTGCATGACACAGATTTAGTACATGATCGTCAGGTCTGACAGTTTTTATCGCAAAAGCTTGAACTCGGAGTGACCTCAATGTGTTGACCTTGACCGTAGCTCATTTACCCCCACATTTCGATAAATGGGAAGATAACATTACGTAACGCAACAAGTTAGTTGCGTATAAGGAGCAAAAAAACTTTCTATCGGGAAAGAGGTGCCATATTAGCATGCCTATTTCCCCTATTTATTTCCCTGATTTGCCAATTTTGAAATTTGAATACTTCAATTTTAACTTGTTCATGGAACGATCCTCCTACCTCCTTGTAAGTCTTGAAAGTTTGCTCTCTACCGCTTTGATGTATGTGCCAGCTAAAATTTTACTCCAGTCCTGGGAGGCTGATAAGACAAAAGTGGAGTTATGTCAAGACATTTTGTTAACGGGGTAATTGGGTTTCAGAAAAAAACAAGGGCCTTTTGAAAAGCAAATTGAATGAATGGAGATTGAAATCGGGAGGAAGAGAGTAGGGGGGGGGGGGAGTGAGAGCTTGGACGCGTAAAACAAAGGTACCCTAGTTGAGTCATCGTTAGACAGAACCGAGTGTAACTCAATAATCAATATCAAAGTAGATTTTTCGTACAAAAGTGGAGAATTAATCGATTTTCGTAACCAATTGGGCGTAAATAATATGTCCCGCGTGATTTAACATTTGGCTTATTTTTCTCAAACTCAATTGTCAATTTTCAATTCTGCTCATGAGTAGGGAGTAGCATCATCAAGCCTCCTAGATGCTAACATCCAATTCTGTCACTTTCTTCATTAATCAAACTCAAGTGTAGTGGTTTTAATGAATGGTTAGCGCAGGCATCAAAGCCACAAATTCTGCCCTTGCGATTGAACTCGTTAACCCTTTCTACACTCCCACATTCATAAGTAGTTCCAATTTTGTTTTTTTTAAATAGATTTGAGAAGTAATAACTTCCTTTCAATATTTAAAATTGTCTTATTTCATCCGTTTTTGCTTCAAATCACAGATAATTTACTGGAAGTACTTAAATTGTCAAAGCCATTAGAGTTTACATGAAGAACTTGCTGTATGCGCCCATCCATAGCTTATATAATTACACTTACAGTGTGTGTTCTATAGAAATTCAAGTATACTGTTGCGGTACTAAGAATAAGCTTTTATCACCAGCGACATACGTTCAAAGACATGCAATCCAGGCTATCTAATTTGCATTTTAAAATTATTTTTCTTTACTCCCATTGGCTGTTCATTCGCTGCAGTGTTCATTTGTTCAAGGTCACGCCAATGCAATCGATAATCAATTTTTTTCAGAGCGAATTTTACACCAAAGTTGATATAATCTACAAGTCCATAAGAAAATTCATAGTAAGATAATAGAGCCTTAATCTCTTTCTCATCACATGACAACTAAATTAGTTGACTTCTTATTAGCGTTTTTGTCGTGATATCAGATCCCAAATTTTTTCGGCTCATCTCGTTCATCAAATTTGAATAATTATGAAACGGATTTTAAAGGATCATAAATAATCGTGCAAAGTGACAGTCTGTAGTTGGTTATTAAAATCTGAAATTTGTTATTTTTAATAGGGTTGTGAGTTAATTTGAAGAGTTTTGACTGCATCAGATTCCGGAAAATGTGTTTTCCTCTTGTCAAAGTTGTTTAGGTGTAAGTTTTGAATCTTTCAACTTGAAACGTAAGACGATTCAGATTATATAATTAAAAGTATCATAAAAATAGAACTGAACTCACAGATCTCTGTCAATGTAGACTGGTATCTTGTCAAAATTTCCTACCTTTGAGTCAATTTCTAAGGTTATTTCATCATTTCATTATTCTGTTACCCACACTTACTATTCTATCGTTCCTGTTTTCGGAAAAGGTGTAATTTAATTTCAAGAGTCGTACTTTGAATGCGTCAAATTCTTGCTCTGATTTTTTTTACTTTTATTGAAATGGCAATTTTGAGCAAGAGGAGGAATTTCAATTTGGTTTTAATTGGTTACTATGGCCAATAATGAGTTAGACCCTTGATGATAGTTATTTACTTGTCATGCATTGCAGGTCGTTAAAATTAATGTCCTTGATGTGTATTGTTTGATAAAATATAATATTTTGTGCGAAATAAACCGACGTTTAGTCAAAACCAATTAGTTTAATTATAATGGCTGCTTAGAAGTGGGGTGAATTTTATAACTTTCATTTTGTTTGAAGGAAATAAAAGGGGAAGTAGGTCTCTGAATTTAGCGATGTCTGCTTGGTCGCTGATTTCCTCGATATCTTCGCTAATTTTCAAGAAATAGGTCACATTTGAAGGTAGAGTTTCTTCTTCTGAATTTTCTCCCATTCTTCTGTTTCTCGGGGTTTTTGCAGACACCAGAAAGATAGATTGCGTAAACTCGTTGCTAAGACTTATCCATTCTTACGCCTTGGGTGTTTTGTTTGGCCCCTAAGCGACCAATAATGTCCATTGCTATTTATAAAATAAATAAATCTTCAACCTCATGAAAATTCAATTGAAAGTTGGTGTGAAAAACGGCCTATTTCAAGAGATTTTTCGTATGAAAAGTCATGCCATTATCGACCTATTTCCGGCTATTCTAAGTCTTGCAAAGACAAAGGTAATCGAAAAAAAATGACTTAATAGAGACATATCAGGAAGTCAACCTCAATATTAACAACACATTCAATCAGAAATTTTTCAAATAACTTTTTAAATCAGTGCTATTTAGTTCTTCAAGTTGCGAATAGATGATTTTGGAAAACTGAAAGCCCTAGGACCGAATCTCTCTACCCTTTGCCTGCCATAAAAGAACATATGCTAGGTTAATATAAATAAGGGGCGATAACATTCTAATGGATGAGAGTTTAGGCCTATTATTTTACAAATTTGCTGAATGGGGCTGTAGCGGATTACTACGCTAGTTATGTATATTGTTTTGTAGACTTGTAGCGGATTGCTCCCTAAGGCCTGACTGACTCAGAAATCTCTATGGCAGATCTTCCAACGTCTAGCTAGACTCCCAGAACCAGCTAAGCTATACCCCAGCTACGCTAGACTCCCAGAATAAGCTAAGCTATAGCCCAGCTATAGGCTGACTCCCAGAACCAGCTAAGCTATAGCCCAGCTATGAAAGACTCCCAGAACCAGCTAAGCTATAGCCCAGCTATGAAAGGATCTCCCAGAACCAGCTAAGCTATAGCCCAGCTATAAAGAAATCAAGTCTCTATGGCAGATTCTCCAACATCTAGCTAGACTCCCGAGAAATCTCTGGCAGATTCTCCTACATCTAGCTAGACTCCCGAACTAGCTAAGCTATAGCCCAGCTATAAAGAAAACAGACGTATAATTCAGCTAAGCTATAGCCCAGCTATAAAGGAAACAGACGTGTTGCGCTAAGCTATAGCCCAGCTATAAAGGAAACAGACGTGTAGCACGAAGCACGTTTATTCAGGACGTATATTGCGGATCAAGTGTACACGTAGGGGGCTACTCATGATCAGGATGGCGGATTAGGTTAAACAAACAGAGTTTCGATCATGATCAGGATGGCGGATTAGGTCAAACAAACAGAGGCTAGTGTTAAACAAACAGAGGTTAATGATTGGTCACTGTTTGTATGGGATTAGGTTAAACAGAGTTTAATGATTGGTCACTGTTTGTACGGTCGCTGCACACAGAGTTGTACGGTCGCACCTCCCAATCCTGGCGAGGAGACATGCAGGCATACGATGACGCATACAGCGATAGCTGTCCCACAGAGCCACTTCTATTATTATTATTATTATTATTATTATTATCTACTTCTATTTTATTTATTATATCTTCTCTCTCGTGTATTACTCATCTTTGATTGCAAAATTAAGTGCGTGGGTGGCTCGTGTTTTGTCCGTATTCGTGATGCAAATAATATAAATTTCCACTGCATCTAAACGACACTTTTGCTGAGCAAAAAAAATTAGCCGAAGGAAAGCCTCTTTACTAAATACGCTAAAATTTTATAAGACAATATGCACGAGACTTCATCCCAAATACTATATCCTCATTTTAAGCAACGTTGGTAATTTATACGGGTTTGCTTATGGTTTCGCCTAAATCATAATCAGTCTATATATCCGCACTGTTATTCTTTTCAACAGATATCGCAGCTGTCAACTGATCTGAATTCCCAAGTTTACTCCCTGCTAAATCTATTCCGAGAGAAAGTAATGGATGATGGTTATGGGGGTTTAGCCAGAGCACTTGAGTTCACACTCTCAAACCAGTTAAAACTACGTCAAAGACGTCGATCATCTGCGGAAAGTCAGGACACAGCTCCGAACCCTTCGACAACCACTAGTCCCCCAGTTTCTCCTCGTCCAAGTGAGGAAAACTATTATACACCCCCAGCAACTTCCTCTGTATCTGTATCTGTTCGGCGCTCACATTCCATTGGGGCCGTTGCTGGTTTTGTAGCAGGTTCCTCCACCAGTCCACAGCAGCTGAAGAGCGGAGATCATAAATTATCAATCGGAACTTCGAATTTCTCCTCCAGCTCCGCCCGAAACTCCATCACCGCAGTTCCTGGATGTGAGAGTTCTCTCAATTCATCCCATTCAGCATCCACTGCGGCACTCTCTGATATTGAGTTCGAGTCCTCAGTAGGAAATTCATCTCTGGTAAGTGGAAGACCTTCGACGGCGTCATGTTTCAGTTCTCCCGCTCCAGCTCGACGTCTTCTTGGACCGTCGGTGCCGGTTTCTATAGCAACGCTAAGAAGACACTCCAGAATATCTGCTTCTGGAAGTCAGAGACGAGCTAGTCTACTAGATATTCCAGCTAGAGCACTGGCTGAGCAGATAACGTATTTGGAAGCGGAGAAGTACTCTCGTCTAACAGTAAGATTTCACCTTATTCATTTGAATCATTTCTAAAATTAATGAATCATGAATTGTAAGTCCTAAAACCTGTTACTCCCGTAAGATAGGGCGGGTGGGTAACGCATCAACTTAATGTCCTTAATGCCCTTAACTATTTTAGCTTCCTTTGGCAAATTGCTGTTTTTTATTATTATTTCAATAGCACTATTAGGTCCGATTAGAAATGGCCCGTCTCATATCCTAAGGTATTGGGTTGTATTAATCACGTTATCGAGTTTAATTTTTTTTATTTAAGGGGAAAAAAGTGACAGCTTGAATCTCGACTTTTATAACTCCTGACATGGGTAGGTGAATTATCGATCGATAATTTCATTATCAATAAAATAGTCTGTTGGTTGAGTTAGATAATTTAAATTTCCATCAGAAAATTATGCATGAATTTTGTCTAACTGAGTGGTTATCATTTAATTCATAAAAATAATAGTACATGCCTATTTAAAAAAGTATTTATATTGTTTTATTTAGGTATCTCAATTTCAAGTCTAAACCACAAATTGGTGCAGTTCTGTTAGAATCTTGAACCATAATCCGTTTTAATCAAAATG